ATTTTTAAATATTCCGACTTTACAATGACTTGTGGGCCACTACACCCCTCCCCTTTCTTTTGCAACTTTCTCGTAAGATATCGTGAAGGTTCAGCAGCAGAACATGTCATTCCGCTCGAAAGTTGGTGTAGGTGTCTTACTTGTTAAGACGGCACATTCACCAAAGGTGAATGCAGGTGATCTCCACGGAAGCGCTTTCTCTCTTAAACAGCATTTGTGAAGCTGAAATGTTCTTGCAGAGAATGTGATACACTCTCTTCTGGAGCCTGTGTTGTATCTTTTGATCAAACGCATGATAAGATATTTCCAGGTGATGATGTTCAAAACGGTGGGAGCAGACGCGTTGGGTATGTCCACTTGCCACGAGGTGACAGTGGCGACGCAGTGTGGCATCAAGGTTCTTGGCTTCTCGCTCATCACAAATATGTAAGTTGCTCACCACAACTTCGGTGTCCCTCTTTTGATCACCACCATTTCAGCGCCAATACCGACGTTGACAATGCCGTACTTGTATCCCATGCGGAGGTGCTGCAAACGGCAAAGGAAGCTGGCGATCGAGCCTCAAAATTCGTCAAGGAGATCATCAAGCATTTCCCTACGGATTCTTCCTAGAGCATCAATGCAGCATTATGGAATACGAAATTCAGCTCTAGCGATTACAATTTTCATCCTTCAAATTTCTGTTTTCGACATGGTAATTTTTAGTGTACATAATAATCTTAGTGCCGGTCGACGTGGGAGTTCCTCTGGGAACGATTGGTGCTTTATATAGCTTGATTAGAGTATAATAAAATGCACGAGGCACTGCTTGAGCGCGGAGCTCCCCATTTCCCACGTCGTCCATACAGTGATTATAATATACCACCGATGTCCATATCACGTCGTGCCTTGGATAAATGTGAATCAGATGTCTTTTCCTGTTCGACTTTCAAGATATTACAGTCGAATGAAATCATGTTTTTTAAGGATTTAGTGGGTTTTTTGGTAGCGTCTCATCGGCGTCGTGCTATGGATGAAACGAGGGTTCCAAGCGGCCCCCAAGCAGTGACTTAAAGGAATCTTCCACGGAAAAAGCTCCGCCCTCATTACCACAGAAAACGATACCTTAAAGGAATCTTCCACGGAAAGAGTGATCATTTTGTCTTGTGTGTAGGATTAGTATTATCGAAACTAACGCTTATGTTCCGTTCTTTTTGCTATGCTCATGAGGCTAGGGGCCTAAGGTATCGTTTTTCTGTGGTAATGGGAGGCGGAGCTTTTTCCGTGGGAAGATTCCTTTAACAAATACTTCTTCTGCTGCTCATAAGAAATAGAAATGAGCAGTTCATTCAATGACTTCCCCGAATTGATAGAGAGGTTTTAGTAGAGGTACGGTGCGATTCTAAAAATCTGAGCGATTGTTCTTGAACGTTTGAATACTACAGGAATTTACGGATTTCACTTATACCGTCTCGAATTTCCTCCTGGAAGCACATTTTCTATTGTGATATTTAAGCGAAAACATAACCATCTTAAGTCAAAGGATTCCACGATAAGGTCGGAGGACAAAGGGGCGAAACACCAAGACGAAATGCAGGCGGGCTCCTGTGGGGGATGCACGT